TTAGTTTATGGGTTGAATCTTGGTGCAGATTTAGATTAGAGGGATAATGTTTTGTTTCGTTATCTGGAGTTTTATAAGATTCCCTTATTTTAGAAAAATTTGAATGCTTTTTCATTATAATAGGACATCACAGGTTATTATGTCATCTTTAGAGTAAACGGAGAATGTTTTTATATTAGCAAACAGTTCTTTGAAAAATGGACAAAAAACTGTTTTGGAATATTACTCTTATCTAGGGAATAAAAACACAATAGTCATTTACTCATATTTTGGAATACTCAAATGTTTTCAGTCCTATTTAGGTAATTTGACCATAATATATGATTGTAAATAAGTTGTTATTTTACTCTAGATAACCATTTGTATCAAGCATCGGCATATGGGAACGTTACTGCCATCCGTGTTATCGGAGTCTGTAGTGTAATTGTCACAAGGAGCACAATCACCAGAAAGTTTGATATGTTAATCGCTGCAGATGAAGAACTCTTCCAAAGATCGACGAACTGTCACGAACACCATACCCACAGCTCATAAACACACTCAAACGAAGAATGTAAAATTGTTGCACCAACCTTGGGATGGACTCGGGTCCGGGCCGGGTCCGGGTTAAACTTTGATCGCAGCAAAAAAATGTGACTAATTGTTGCGTATATCCCTCACAAACACAACAAATACCTACAAAAAAAGGAGCAACATATACAAAACTAATCTACTAGTGAAAAAGTAAAATATCCTCTGATTTTTAAATGCGGACCATATGATTAAGCTCATACCACTTTGTATACTTTATCAATATGTTTATAAATTGTGAGTTAAAAAAACTTGATACGAAATGGTATATTTGGACCTTCAAATAGCATTATGCGAACACTTAACACATAAATGTGTTCATGGTTCTTGACGTGCACGTGCAGAAGATAAGCCAACTTATCCAGAGAATTACATTCCAAATTAGATCATTCAAATATCAAGTATTAGCTTAAAAAGTAGAAGGGAGATTTGTAACCAAAGCAAAGATTTATTGACACCATCTTCATGAATCATGCATGATCTTCTCCATTAAGTACATGTTGGATGCTTGAAATGCAACACCCAAATGATTTAGCAAATTCGACAAAACAAATCACTCAATTCAAATCAGACCGAATCATTTGAGTTAGATAAGCTATACAAACCCGAGCGATTTTAAATCATGAATGACAAGATTATGTTTGTGTTCTCTTGAGGCATGTGATTGCTATGTCCTGAGAAGGCCCAACAAGATTACATCGTGAATCCGGTCCAGAATGGTTTCGTACAGCAATGTTCTGAAATATCTGGATGGAGAAGAAGCCCACAGTCAATTGACATTTACACTTATATATGCACCATGTATTATACTCCGTATATACGACTAGGGCTGGTTCGGTATGGTATACCGAAATTTCAATGCCATACCGCATACCGTACCGAAAATCCGGTATTGGTAAATGTCATACCGTTATCATATCGAAACTTTCGGTATACCGAATTTCGGTATACCGAAAATTCGGTACGGTATGTAACCCATACCGTTTTATACCGAAAATTCAAAAACATAAACTTCTTGGCAATTCCGTATAAAGTATTAGCTTAAGGGGCCTACCGAACATCCAAAAAACAGATTTTAACAAGTCAAAACTAGCATATGACATCAATACATAAACCGGTACCAAAACTAAAACACAATATTTAATCCAAAGTAGAAAATACTAAAATTATGTGCTAATATCTCAAGTCTCAACACAATTCATAATGACAATTAGAATATTTATCCAACATAAATCAATGATAACTAATGTTTGTAATAACAAATATTTGAACCATTGTTGCAGCTCCAAAAGATAAGTCGTCTAACACTTCACTCCTACAATCCTGCAAATGAAAATAAATCAGTTTTGTTGTATTTACATCCTCCCAATTTTACATATTTAGACAGACAAGTGGAACTAGTACATAACAAGAATTGTTGTGAAACACCTCACGCTTTCAGCACTCTGCAATAATATAGTTCATCTTGCTGTGATTCAAACGATCATTCAACTTGTGTTACACATAATCAGAGGATTGTTCTCAAGAATCATTAAGAAATGTATAGTGTCTAAACTCTAAACAGCTTGGTAGGAAGTTTGCATTATGTTTGGAAACCCCGCTACGAAACTACGAGAGGGAAAATGGGGAAGAATTAATACAATTAATCATCAATAATCCCTTTAATACATCTTTAGAACATTTGTGCTGATGCAAAAATATTCCTTCACGGTTCACACCCACAATTTTTTAAGTACTCCGTCACTCGTCCGCATCTCCATCGTCAATGCTCAATAGTCTGCAGCTCTGTCACTCGTTGATGAGAAGAGAAGTTGCTTGACTCTACGTTGATTTATTTGATTAGGGATTTAGGTCTCTACTTGGGAGGACTGGAGAAAGGATGTAGTATTATAAGATGGGTTATTTTAATTTTGGGCCTTGGTGTTTTAAAAATTTCATTTAATGGGTTTGGCCTTAAAAATTTACAAAAAGTCCATACCTTTACCGTACCGAAGTGACCCGGTATGGTATCATACGGTACCGAACTTTTCGATATACCGAAAATTTCGGTAAATTCGGTATTTTTCGGTATGGTATGGCCGGTATACCGAAATTTCGGTATATTTTCCCACCCCTATATACGACTATTTTTTAAGTTTGGTCTGATCTGGTCCGTTTAAGTTTCATCTATTTAAGTCTTGTTTGTTTAAGTACGTTCTGGTGTGGTCTGAATTGGTTTGTTACTGAAAGCAATCCAAGTAAAAATATCCTAACTCGCTCACTTTCTATCACTTCGGTTATCTTTTTTTAATACTTCGGTTATCAATATTATACGAGTATTTTGTTAAAAATGTATCCAATTAAATCCTTTTCCGAAAAAGCGAAACGGAAAAAGATCAAAATTAAACACGTCCATCATTTATTTCTTTTACTCAAAATAACCTGAATAAGAATTATAAGATGAAGAGTATATATTTATAAAAGTATGACTAAATGATTCAACGATTACAATACTTACTTAGCTTCTTAAAATACAAGTATAAGGACAACTTTGATGTGAAGTGGGAAATATATACATGAGAAATGTTTTAATTGACGTGATTTGTTTTGTGTGTACTTTCTTTTTTCTCGTAGTATCGTTGTGTAACTTCTGCTAATTGACATTATTAATGAACTCATTTTCTAATGGAAATTGTGTACTTGAATGTTATGTAGTGGAGTGGGGAAAAAATTACATGAATTCTTTGCTAAAAGATACATACAACAAAGAACTCCAAAACAGTTTAAAAACATAGAGCCTTGAAGTAGAGATTAGAAGTGCTAAAGTGAGTAAAGGGGTTGAGGAATTAGCCTTGCTTTATTATGTGGGAGGAGTCCCATATTTATACAATAGTTGGTAACTCCCATGTTAAGAGTATTCCCTACGTACATAATAATTGAACAATAATAAATCTAACGATAATAGAATCAAACATTTACATGCAAGATACATTAATTCCGTACAAGAAGTATAAATCGACCTCCACAAACTAGACGAGTGTATTCCCAAAATAAGAATACGTAAAACATGGTCGGGAAGTAAAAATATGAGTAATTTTAAAATCCCCTAAAAAATATGATTAATATGAGTAATTGTTGGAACCAATCCTGATTCTGCTTCTTTTTTAAAGTAGAAGCAGAATCAGTTTTCAGAAGCTGATGCTCCCAGCTTCTAAAAAAACTGATTCTAAGAGTAAATTAGAGCACCAGAATCACTTCTGCACTTTCACCCAAATACTCCAGTTTCTTCTTCTGCTCCCTAGAGTTCAGTTTTAAAAATCAGATCCAAACATCCCATAATTCCCACCTGTGGCAGACGGTGTATTGTTAAGGGTGTTCATAGTGATAACCCAGAACTTTTCACCGTTCAGTACTATGTCGTATGCTCAGCCACTCGTTTCCAATCTTCCGCCTGTCCACCACTAGGTTAGATTCTCAGTTTCTCACGTAGCCAATCAGCCACCTCCCGGTTACGGATGGCTGAACGGCCACTCGCCCATTGACCCAGACTTCCAGGTACCACCGCGCCAGCTCCAACGCTCCACGCAACCACCGCTTCACAGGGTCACAGCTCCACTCCACTCAGCCAGTCAGCCCAACACTTCGTTATTTTCTGAATTGGTTTTCTACTTTTCTGTTTGTATCAATTGTACTCCGTAATTTGTATGTGTATTTTGACATTTTGTGAAAGAAGATGACGGTATACGTATCATATACGGGATAATGGATTATTGATGATTGATATGATTCTTTCAAATTACAATCTTACCCCTTTATGTGCATGCAAATGAACCAACAATCTAGCACTTTGGTCTTTGGCAATTGACATTAATAGGCAGAATGACAGTGGTACTAGTGCAATACCGAAATTGTATTTGGCATTTAATTTAGTATTCATTTTTTGATAGTATGGTTTTTGATAAATTAGTTTGTGATAATTAACGTTGAGTGTAATTGTTGCAGTATATTTAATTTAACTTAGGTTCGAATACCCAAAATGTAAAGACTAGATCCGGCACGAGTTCCCACCCCTCGAAATCAAACTTGGAGATAGTAGTAGTAATATCTAATATAATTAGTGACCCTTAAAAGTTCACATTATTTTTACTCTTATTTTGAGAACTTCTCATATCACACTATCATACAACAAAAGTGAAAGGGAAATTTTCTCGTGAAAGGATGGGATGGTGTGTTTTTATTACTACCTCCTGCCCAATTTTTTTTTTCATTTTCTTTCCATCCGTACCAAATTAACATTAATTTCTTTTTATGCTAAAAAATTTGTGGTTCATACTAAATCTCTCTTTGTCCTCTACATAACTCTCAATCGATCACACAATTTCTTACTTTCTTAATTTACATGCAAAGTTAGTCTAAAAATAAGCTTCAAGACACCTCACTTCATTTTCCTCTTCTTTTACGTTTTAAAACAAGAAATATATATCTTCATTCATAGTACAAGTGTGTCTCTAAACTAGCACAATAATATTCACATTTGAAGTTTAGGGCGCCAACTTTTCAAGCAAAGATTCATCGACTCCACCTTCATGAATCATGATCTTCTACATTAAGTACATGTTAGAACAGGAAAATAAAAGATCATAATACGTAGGCACGGCTACCATTAAAATTTTACACAGTTAAGATAATAAGATGACTGCGTTTGGCGAGGATATCGGGTAAGTGAGCAAGGTTTGACGTAACTTGTCAGAGTCACTTGTAGTTATATTATCAGCCTTAATCACCATCTCTTCCAATATTGTTGCCCTCTTAAGAAGGATTCTGGCCAATGTAAGCATTGGTTCACCACCAATCCTTGGATTTGCCAAGTTAGACAGTTTAACTGTCTTCAGATGCAATAAGTCGGAATCCAAATCACCTTTAGCAGGTCGGAGCCGATTCTTGTCCCACTACAAACACAACAAATTGACAAATTCAAGACAAATCTACTCTTACTGATATGGAGAGATTGCTGGTTTCTCTTGAAAGCATTACAATTATATATAAAGCATATACACAAACCACGTGAAACAATACTAAACACATGTACATACAACAGTATAATAAGTCCAAAAACTACATATGAATCGAGAACACTTGCCTCATCGGAATCAATAGAATCAATGATCAATGTCTCAAGGTCCGGAGAAGATTCCAGCAGGCATAAAATTCCCGGAATGATTTTCACAGCATATAATGAAATCTTTATTGTCAAGCACCTTAGCCGGCTTTTTGGGAGCTGCCAGCCATTCATCACCAACCTTGCTAGAGCCTAGTTTACATGTTACAGCAAAACGTATTTTTATAGATATAAAGAATATAAAATGTAAGATCTCAGTGAAGAAATATGAAACAAAAACAACTTCTTAATATTTATATATTTCTCAATCCTCATACATTCCAAATTCCCGATTGACCAACTCCCATTGCAAGATTTACACCTTAGTTTCACTTTACATGGTCTTTGCTGTCAGTCATAGTTGTCATGGCGCATGGCGCAACCCATGGCGCACAGGTCATTTTCCATGGCGATGGCGATGGCGCAAATATGGCGTCGCCACGTGACAAAAAACATAATATTCAAAATAGATACTGCAATTCATCAACCCAAGTTTACCCAACCACCAAAACATGATAAAATAGTTCAAAGTACTTCCAAAAAACATAATATTCAAAAAAAAGTTTCCGTCTTGCAAAAATAGTAGTTAGGGTTTATGTTAGTTGTGTTTATTTATTTGTAGTTAGGGTTGTTGTTAGTATTATGAGCTAAAATAGTAAGGTTTTGTTAGTGTTTTTTTTGTTAGGGTTTATGTGTGTGTGTGTATATATATATATATATATATATATGTATATGTATATATATAAAACTATATATTTATATATATAGCTATATATTTATAACTATATATATAATTCTATATTGTATATAACTTAGTATTGAAACTCACAATTAATGAAAAAAATTGCAAAAGAAACTCACAATTAATAATTGAAAACAAGGTTTATTAATGAGAATTAAAATTAAAAAACTAATCAAAACAAAATGTGAAGTATATCATAGAAGGTTATTTTAAAATAGAAGTATCACAGTTAAAACGCACACACAAAAACAAGGTTACAACAACAAAATTATAAATACACAACTTAATTAATTACAATTTAAAATACAATAAAAACTGAAGCCAAAGATCAAGGACCTGGGAACTGGGAAGTCTGCAAGTTCCTCTGCTGCTCTGATTCCGCGAGGGACTGAGGGGGGGCGACTATGTGAGTTCGTCTTAGTTGTTTGCTTCCTACGTGCAACTTTGGGCAACGAATGGTCCGTAAGGTTGATTAGTTTGGGCTTAGCTTTTAATTTAAAGCCTGAAACCTTAATTAAATTAGCCCTAATTAAGGCCTAAATCTATTTTATCTGGTTCTGGGCCTGCCACTGCGGTTCGACTTGTGAATAAGTCGAGGATTTCTTCGCCAACATCGAGCCTAGACGACTACTGGACGACGCAAACGCCATGGCGATGGCGCCCATATGGCGAAGGCGCAGGAATGGCGACGCCATGTGTATACACCTCGCCACAGCCCCTTTTCATAGTGCAGAGGGTTTTTCGCGCCACATGGCGCATGGCGCGCGCGCCATATTGCGCTATCGACTACCTGGCTGTCAGTAGAAATAAAAATCGTGACACTTATCTGTAACAAAAACTACCAACTTAGGATGTTAATAACTGTGAGAAAGACACAAATGTTTAACTCAAGAAACTGCATTCTCCCCAAGTCACATATGTATTGCTAGCAAACCAACATGCTTGCAATTGATTCAATTAGAGCATCCACAATGGTGCGGTGTCTAGTGCAGCAGAAATCTGCCACGTCACTATTTGAGACATTTTGTGTTAAATTATGCTTCCAATGCAGGTAGTCTCTAAGCACAGTTAGGTGACGTGTCAAAAAAAATTCTAAACACCGTGAAGGAGGACGTCTCGGTGTAGAAAGGCTACAACACTTTGTGACTCAGCAAAAAAGAGGCTTCTTCGTAGGAAAACCGTTGATAAATAGATATTTCCTTTTATTTTAATACAATTGATTCCACATGGCAGCTTTAATGGTCCGTATGACTAAATGCATTGGAGACTTTATTTGGTTCATCACTATCCACTCCCTCCACATTTACTACGTGGGTTAGAAACCATTTTCATTATTTGACATTTGGCATTATTTAAATAGACTAGACTAAGAGGCATTGAGGATGCTCTTAGGGTATTTTTAAGTGGACGGATTTCAGTCCGAGACCATACACAAACAGATCAGACGCAAAGAGATCACATAGAACAAACATCTACCAGACCAGACCGGATCAATTTAGACCATACTAGACCAGACTTAATCAGAACAAACCATAAAATTATTATCCAATTTAAAACATCATTAGTCAGAAGCAATTCTCGCTTGGACAAATTAAAAAAATCTCTGACACTCTCTTGATAGCATTTGTTATGTTGATTAGAGAATTATTTTTTCAATACAAAAAATACAAGTATGCATAATATTCGTATAGGTGTGGTTTTTTAAAAGATGGGTAGGAATTAATATTTTATGGCTAAATACTTAAACTGTTCTATCTTGCATTACATAAGAAGTTGGGCTATGCACAAATGTTGTTTCTGGACTAGCTTCCAATTCTTAATGTACTCTCTCCCACACTCTATTCAGGAATATAGAGTTACTTTCATGAGAATAGTGAATGAAATGTGTATTTATCCACGTGGTTTATGAACTATGCTATCATTATAACTAGAGTGTATTGCAATTGACAATTGGCAGGATAGAAAATCATTTTAGCAGGTTCAATGTCGTGTCTGTTTTTTAATACTGTAACCAATCAACTACTGACTTTCAGAATTTAAAAAAATATATGCAACAATAATATTCAAATTAAGGGACAATATAAATGATGAAAGATTTTCTGAAAAGTGGGCTAGAAGATCAAATGAATTTTACAACCAATACGAACCTTAACAGGCGCAGACCCTAGAACTAGGTCCTTGGCATGGTGAATGTTTTCGAAGTATTCCTTTGCATTACTCAGCACCTCAGCGGGAAAACTCCAGATGTGTTCAGAAAAATCAAATTCAGCACTATCAAGAGATGAGAGGTTAGTGAGCTTCAACTTCCTTTCTTCTGGATACAGAGAAATACTTAAAGATTTTAGATAGGGTGCTGAAATTTGCAAGAAAGGGTCACTTTCTTCTTCTTCGCCTTCAAAGTTCTGCACCCGGAGGTTATATAGACTCTTAGAGTTGATCTCCAAACAAGTGAATCCACAACAACCACTGAGATCCATTGAATTTAAAACTGGGCAGCCAGATAAAATCATTTCAAGTACAGGCTGAGGCAAATACACACGAGAGATCTTTAAAGAAGTCAATGAAGGCCACTTAATTGTTATTTCAGGATCCAAACGGCAACCATCCAAAGACAGTGATGTCAAGAATGAATTCGAATACATCATTTCTGGAAGAGTGTAGATATCTAGAGTGCGGAAAAATCCGTTTTCGTTTAATGCCAAACTGACTTCTTTAGCTTTATTTTTCAAGGCAAACTCTAACCAATTATCAACATCCTGAGCAAAGCATTTCTTGTAAAGGAAACCCACCTTCAACTTCTCCAGATAAGTTCCATTACGAATAGCAAGTGTCTTATTAACCCAAGCCACAAGGTCAAGCATTTTCTTATCAACCCAAGCAACCAAGTCAGCCATATTCTTAATTTCCTCATGTTTACCAGAGTAATCAAAACGGAATTCAAGAACCGGCAGTTCAGCCCAAAGAGACTTCCATTCTTTCCCCAACAAGCTCGTAACCCCAGCTTTCTTTACACCCAAAAAAGAGAGGATATGAATAAGTAAGCAATCAGGCAATGCACTGAGTCTATCAATTGACGTATTCTTGACCCGATTGTTAGCTCCAGCGTTTTCCTTCGAATAGTCTTCTACATTTTCAGTCCCAAGCTTCACTCCTACGCCAAAATCATCTTCTCCTGATTCTTGTATTTCTATAGCTACCCCTTTTTCACTCATCGGAATAACGAAATATACAAATATTAACACACCACAGACCGTATCGCAGTAGAAAACGAGTTACCCTTGGCTTGGTAAAAATTGAATTTTGGAGGAAAATTATTAGGTTTGTGTTCTCTTGAGGGATGTGATTGCTAGGTCCTGAGAAGGCCCAACAAGATTACATTGTGACTTAAGTATAAAAATCTGGATGGAGATCGGAGAAGCCACCCAGTCTTATCGAGTCAACCCGGAAAATCGATTAACATTTTTTTTTTATCATCAAAAAATCGATTGACATTTGTACTTATATATACTAGGTATTATACTCCGTATATATGACTATTTTTTTTTAATATTCCATATATAGGATTAATTAAATATAAAAAACAGTTACTCGTATTATTTATAATTATCAATTAATGATAATACTCTTCACAAAAATACTAATGATAATAATTAATAGCGAAAAATAATTAAAATACCTCAAACTTTGAAGGGTTATGAAATAAACACCTCAAACTTGCATATATAATTTAAATACTTCAAACTTTATATAAAAAGTTATTTTAGCATCATAATAAAGTATTATTTTTTCAACAATGTAAATTTATGGTATTAATTGCATAACTTAAAATTATCATAGAATTCATGATGACACAACTAACATTCTAAACCTCCACTACAAAATAAATAATGTTACTCCCAATCTATATAATTGCAACACTTTTAATTTTCTATTTTAAATTATGCAATTAACCCCATAAATTTACATTTTTGATAGAAATAATAATGATAATGGTGCAAAAATAACTTTTTATTTAAAGTTTAGGCTATGTAAGTTTGATGTGTTTATCTCACACCCCATCAAAGGTTGGGTTATTCTTATTAATTTTCCCTAATAAATAAGCGCTTAATACTCTCGTTATATTACAAACTACAATTTTGGTCATACTCATATTGTCTCTTATTTGTTATTTGTATTATACATTTAATAACATAATTTTACTTGGATACTCTCTCTCCCAAAGCGTTAGAAGCCGCCGTCCCTAGACGGCGATCCTGAAGCTCGGCGATCGATGTAACGTGAGCGTCGACCCTGCAGTCGACGCACAGTGATTCCCTATTCTAGGCTAGGTGGTTTTGGTGGGCGGCGTTGATCCATTGACGCTTTGGAGTCCCGAGTTTGATAGATTTTGCAAATTTGGCAGATTGGAGTGACGAAGGGTTCGAGTTCGGTGGTCTCGACGTGTAGATTATGCTGTACAAAAGGTAAAAGAATCAATCCTAACCTTGTTCTGGTATGGTGGTTCCGGTGAGTTCTGTAAATAGCAGCAAAAGGTATTTGAGCCCTGTCAGCGAAAAAGGGAGGAGGGCAACAGCAGCTCAGTTTCGCTTCAATTTGCAAATCAACCAGGTGCTAGTATAATCCTCCTCTCAGCAGAATTTGATCATGTATGGGGATATCAGGACGAGGAGGGTACGCTCGTCGGCACCCTCGACCTCGTCTGTCTCCTTCATCCACCAGTCAATGAAGGACCGAAGTGTTTCGTCAGGCTGTTGCTTGACGGAGAGGAGGTGGGAGAAGTGCTTTCTCGCGCGCTTCCTTCCGGCAAAATGGGTGAGGAAGCGTTGGGCAAGATCTTGCCAAGAGTCAATGTTGCCCTCGGGCAATCGGTTGAACCATTCGTATGCTGGTCCCTCCAAGGTGGAAAGGAACCAACGACATAAGTATTCATCTGATGCCCCCATCATCATCATGTTGTTTTGATACCTGTTGTAGTGCTCCTGGGGGTCAGTTTTTCCTTCATAGGGCTTGATGAGTTGCCCTCGGTACTTTTCGCTCCGGTCCTTCTTTTTGGCCTCGATGCCAAGGCGGGCATCGGAGGCATTATGTTGGAGCTGAAGGCGCAGGTCGACAGACGTCTGTTCCAACCCAGCAAGGGCGCCATCCTCGGGAGCCATGTTAGAGGCTTCGAGGGCGTCGACGTCGCCGAGGGCCAGGTTCCTGTCCTCATGAGTCTTGGATTGGGCACAGATGTTTCTTCCCATTTTGATAGGTGTTTTTAGCTGAAGGGGAGGGTTTCTTACTTGATTGTTCGAACTCTCAACGAGAGCACCAAATGATGGATAGTGTACCCGGGGGGTAGCTTATCCGAGGGTTTATTGCGGAGAATAACTAGAGAGAAGTGAGAGCAAATAAGTAAGAGAGAGTGTGTATATTTGATATGTATTAAGCGTGGTCGACAATGGGGGAAAGGGGTGCTATTTATAGTAGCAATAAATGCTAGATAAGGACACGTGTCAGTTTTCTGGTGGTCGAGGGGTCACCTCGACCGGGGTGGCACTGGCACTCGCATGTGGCCGCATTAAATGCGGTGGTTGGATGTGACGTTTGTACTTGGTACGGTGATCCAGGCGCATGTGAAGAGGATATTCTGTCGAGGTGGATGCCTTCGGCTGAAGGGTGCTGGGCCGAAGGCTCTTCTAACCGAGGGCTCCTACCTGCCGAGGGCTGCAGGTGCCGAAGGCTTGGTTTTCAAGCCTTGTTCTCCTGTGATGCCTCTTCTAACCGAAGGCTCCTACCTGCCGAGGGCTGCAGTTGTCGAAGGCTTGGTTTTCAAGCCTTGTTCTCCTGTGATGTTTCTGAGCTCGATTCCGTCACTGGTAGCCTTCGGCCATGGGGCCGAAGGCACCCCTTTTTGTATTGTGGGCTGCTCAGAGCTCCATTTTGCTGGGCTTGGCCCGTTTGGGCCTCTTGGGTCTGATTATAGTAGAGGAAGTATGTGGGCCGGAGGTCTCTGGACCTAATACTCCATCAATATCAATATCTATTAAGTAGTTTATGTTGGACTTAAACTCAACCATATTGATTTTTTAATAATATGAAGACCTAATTGTTTTCTCATGACATTGCGAGGAACAAATCGACAGATTCCCTTTCGATATGTTTTATTCTTACTTTGGAACATTTTCTTAATACTGTGTGCTTTAATGCATGGGATATATTGTTACGTGAATGGAAGGATAATACGTTAGTGCTTACGTAGGTCATGACTTGAAAATAACACTGAATCACTGATGACAAATCAATGACGCAACAAATAGTTCCGTACCACTCAAATAAATACCGCTCGCCGCCCTCATATTATGAATCAACGAACGCACTTCCACAATTGATTATTTTTATACAAACTATACATATTGTTGAAAGAGGCCGGCGGCCGTACGGAATGAGCACATCCAGCAGAGACGGTGCCAACGCGGCGCCGCCACCACTAAACCACCTTCGCGTGTTGTCAACCAATCTCATCAACAGACTCCACATGCTCCTCAACGGGATAGCCATAACGGCCATCTTGTTCTACCGGTTCACCGGCGCCGGAATAAAGATGATCGAACGGGAAACACCTCTTTTCGGTGTACCGCTACCGTATATGATCATCACCATCTCGGAGGTAATCCTCGCGTTCCTCTGGGTTCTGCACCAAGCCTACAGATGGAGGCCGGTCAAACGCACGGTGTTCCCGGAGAGGTTGCCGGCAGCGGAGGAGGCGCTCCCGGGGGTGGACGTTTTTGTGTGCACGGCGGACCCGGGGAAAGAGCCGGCGTTGGGGGTGATGAACACGGTTATATCGGCGATGTCTCTGGACTACCCCGGTAACAAGCTTGCCGTGTATATCTCCGATGACGGCGGGTGTGATGGGACGTTGAATGCCGTCCGGGAAGCGTGGAAGTTCTCCAGGTTTTGGGTTCCTTTCTGTCGAAAATATAAACTCAAAGTGAGGTGTCCTGAAGTTTATTTTTCTACGGCGGTTGCTCAAGGCGGTGAAGATGACAGCAATGAGTTCCATACTCATAGGAGGATAGTCAAGGTACGTTGGCCATCAATTACTTTTAATGTCAACACCCATTTGTATTAGAACTCATCCCAATATATATACGGATTGTTTCAAATAAAAAGTGATCCCTAGATGAAAAATAAAAACTAATCTAGGCCTTTAAATTGATAAAATGGAAGGATCAGATCAAATTTTAAAGCAAAAACGCGATGACAATATGGTAATTATGCACAACTTTTATTGGATCCGCTAAAGTAAAATTGAATCGTTGTGTTGAAAAAGTGCAATACATGATAGTCAAGTATACCCACAGGAAAACTTGAAAGTTTAACTTAGATTATACTCCGTAATGATTAAAAAATTAGATTGAAATTTTTGGAATTCTAAAACAACACTGTTATGTTTTGCTTTTTGAAAAAGGAAATAAAGCAATAATTGAAAAATACCGTAATGATTGAAAAATATTACTCCCTCCGTTCCTATTATATCTTCCATTTCACTTTGGCACATAATTTAAGAAAAGTGGGTATTGTGTGGTGGAGAGTTGTGCAGAGGAGAGAGAAATGTGTAAGAAATGCTGTGAACCACAAATTCTTTACCAAAAAGAGAAAGTGGAAGTTTAATTGGAACGGATGAAAAGAGAAAGTTGGAAGATAAATAGGAACGGAGGGAGTATCATTAATGATAATAATTACTGTCATATTGAATGCTACTATTGCAACTATTCCTCGGTAATGATAACAAAATAACAGTAAAAACTGTCACGTTTTCCTATTTCGAAAAGAAAAAATAGCAGTTTACTAAATTAAATTAAAAATTCAAAGATGCCAAAGTTTGAAAGGATGGAAGAGTATGTTTTCTTCTAAATGACAATTTAATTACTCCGTATCAATATTAAAATTAATACCTGGCCTCATTAAATGTCATTAATTCATTATCATCAATTACCTCATTAAATTGTACACCCATCCAAATTACTTTGAGTAAATTCTCTAAATAAGAGTAAAAAAGTTGAAATTCCAAAATAAGACTATCATGTTTTTTAATCCCTAAACAAGAGTAAATTCCTGCCAAGTGTGGCATTACTAGGTTTTTAAACATGACATTTTTTTTCAAACTTGGAAGATTACTCATATTCAAGGAATAAAAAACATGATACTCCTATTTTGAAAATTTAAAGTGTTGTTTACTCCCATTTAGGGCATTATCATCAATTACCTCATGAAATTGTACACCCATCCAAATTACTTTTCATGAAAACCTTAAACCAGATGTATGTACGACGTCTCAATGTCTCATTGTACATATGTTTTAATCGGAGTGAAATGTTGTAGTATGATTTGATCTATTTTAGTTTGGTCTGATCTGCTCCAAGTGTCCATAGTTTTAGTCTGAGATCAAACTAAACAAAATTTAAACAAATAATAGCATACTCAGACAATAGTGATTTAGTATACTAGCTAGATTGGTACATGTTATATATGGACATGCATATAATTGTACTAGTATATGAATGAGGTAGATTCTATGGTACCCATAAGGTACCATACCTTTGTCCACATGGACCAATGAGAATGTAGCAGTTTAATTATTTAAATCTAAATTAAAAATGATAAAATGGTGTGGTCCAATCAAATGAATTGTAGGTACGGTATCCCATTTTTTAGAAAGGTACCGGAGTTGTCACCGTAAATAAATATATAGAATATAATCCATTTGGCAAAATTGAAAGCGGTTGATGTGGTGAAAATTTGAGAAACTTCAGCTAAGACTACTTATTTTGATTATTACATTATCCAAATTATCCAAATGTTCCGTAAAAAGTTAAGCTAATGTCAATAAATCAAAACAAGAGGTCCATGGTTATATGTGCCACTCAAGTCGATGTGATCAAATTTTGTAGGCAAGAATAATTAATTATATTCTTTTTTTGTTGTTGAGAAACTAATTACATTCTTATAATTATGATTTGATACCCCAGGAGAGGTACGGTGAATTTGAGGAAGCTTTGGCGAAGAATACGTCAAAATCTGTTAGCAGGGATCATCCGCCTACCATCCAGGTGATTATGATCTACTTGTATTACGGAGTATAAATTAGGGGTAAATTAATTACCGTAATTAATAAAGCCACCCTTTCCGTTTTTTTCACTTTTTTACTGGTTAACAGTACTGTTTCTTCAGTTTTAATTTTACTAATGGCTGATTTCTTTGCGTTTCAACTTTCAAGTTCTGGATAAATGATTGATTTGGTCTTTATTCACCATTAGCTTACCGTTTGATTGATATACGGAGTAATGGAGTATCTATTTTTAAAGATACCATGAAATGTTAGATTACCCGATATGTTAGATAGATGAGAAATTGAGAATGTGATTAATGTGTAAGTCATTTGTGTTTGGTTACGGTTAAGGGAATGTGACATTAAGTTGTTTGGTTGAATCATATCTTATACTCCTTCCGTCCCGAAAAGGTTGGCAAAATTTCATTTTTCGGATGTCCCAAAAAGATTTGTCATTTCCATTTAAAGTAAGGAATACGTGGCTAAAATTAATCCTCTCTCATCTGCACAAATTTCAACCACACAGTTTTTACTTTATTAGTCCACGTGAAAGTCAACTTTGGCCAACCTTTTCGGGACGGAGGGAGTATTGTATATTTGGTAAATTACTTAAATGCCCATTAAATATTTGTCTCTTAACACATTAAACTTATTAAAACCTATAATTAAAGTAATTAAAATTATAGAAAAATAAAACATCTTAATAATAATTAAAATGAAAACTAATTGAATTAATTATAAGACAAGTATGTCAATTGCACAAATGACTAAGATTAGTGTACATTAGTAGCAAAAAAGCAAGTGAATCTCCTCTTATTAATGAAGGGGGTGTTTGTGGAATAAAATTAAAAAGGAATCAGGAATGTCACAAAACCTAAGGCCTAAGCGGGTTTCACATGAAGGGCCATGTGATTACTTTTTCACTTTTTGGGAATGTAACATTTCAAAAAAAAAATTAAACCCGTGAACCAAACATAAGTATCTCATATCACGAACATCAGATTCTGACCTCTATAAGATATTCACTCCAACCAAACGTACCCTAAGGGTCATGTTATCCCCCAAAAAATAGTTACATGGAGTATATGTGTGAAAATTATTTCGACCCCTCCAAAAAAAGAAGGAAACCTCATGTTAAATAATACTCACTTCGTTCCCAAAAATACTTCTCACTTTCTTTTTTGGGTTGTTCCCAAAAATACTTTCCACTTTCCCATTTTGGACAATTTGTGTGACTCACATTCATTTTACCTTTTTCTTACACAATCACAACCATACATTTTCACTTTATTCCACTTTCTTAATAAGCGTGCCAAGTCAAATCGAAAATTTTTTTTAGGAACCGAGAGAGTATAATCGTGTAATATTGTTATTTGGTTTACGCCACGGGGTATGATTGTGTTTTCATGTATTGACTGCCAGGTAATGAACGATGGCAGTAATAAGGACAATGAGATGCCTCTTCTGGTGTACGTTTCTCGGGAGAAAAGGCCCGGTCAACCCCACCATTTCAAAGGCGGAGCCCTCAATGTTCTAGTGCGTATACTTCAATCAAAAATGATGTTTGTACACACTCTTATATACACTTTTATACACACTTATGTCTGTGAAAGCTTTTTTTTTGTCTGTGAACATTGATTCACAGACAATGTTTTGCACAAACAAAATATTGTCTGTGAACCGGATTCACAGACAAAAAAAAGCTTCACAAACATGGTGTGTATACGGTGTGTACAAGGGTGTGTACATCAAGAATGGTTGTACTTCAATTCCTTTCTTCCCATTTCTGAATGCTTTTCTTTTTTCTCTTTTCTGTTTCCCTAGTCTGTCTAGAGTTCCCTTTTTTGGTATTTGATGTTTATAATGTCAAACATACTATTTGGAATCAGGGGCGGATCTAGCATTGTCAATCAAGTGGGGCCAAAATTTGATTAAACAACGTATATTGCAAAAAAATGTCGAAACGTAGTAAAATAGTACTCCCTCCATCCCTTAAATGCATACGTATTAAACTAATACTCACCTACCAAGCCCAATGAATTGAACAAATTAATTGTTCAGACTAATACTCAAAAGCCTAAAAACGTTCACAATATTAGCATCTAGTTCATTCACTATTTGAGATTGGTGTTAAACTTGTACTCCGTATTAATTAAACTTAGGAAATCAAGTTTAAATTTATACTACGTATGTTTGAAAGAAGAATCCTTATATTCTTCTAGTGTGAGACCATAGTTTTTAGAAGTAAAAAAAACTGAAATGTTTACACAATTCCAAATTAAAAAGATGTGCTGCACCTGGCATTCGAACAAAGGACATGCAGGTCATTTTGACTTTCTTTGCACTTATACCATTATTTAAAAACACTACATATAGTATAATACATATATATATACTAGTAATTTTTTTTGAGGTGGGGCCTAGGCCCTCCCTGGCATAGAGCCAGATCCGCCCCTGTTTGGAATTAGGATGTAATTTGCTGGTCTGGTCTGGTCTGTTTTGGTCTGGTCTGGTCTGGTCTGGTCTGTTTTGGTCTGATCTGGTCTGAAATTTTATTTTTTATATTTTTGAATAAAGATTTTATTTTTTATATATATTATAATCAATAAATAATTATATTTTATTCATTTATAATTAAAAATAATAATAACAATAATAATTATAAATATAATAATAATAAAAATAATAATAATAAATAATAATAATAATAATAATAATAATAATAATAATTAGTGGTGTGCACTATCCGGTTTAAACCACAAAACCGGACCGAACCGGACCGGAAAAACTGGAACCGAATCGAACCGGAATGATATCCGGTCCGGTTCGGTCCAATCCGGTCTGGTTTTGAACCGGTGCACACCCTTAATAATAATAATAATAATAATAATAATAATAATAATTAGGGGTGTGCACTAGCCGGTTTAAACCGGAAAACTGGACCGGAAAAACCGGAACCGGATCAAACTAGAATGATATCCGGTCCGGTTCGGTACGGTACGGTCCGGTTTTGAACCGGTGCACACCCCTAATAATAATAATAATAATAATAATAATAAAATATGGTCTGATCTGGTCTGTTTTAGTCTGGTCTAGTCTGGGACGAATTAGGGTCCAAGTAAAAACAACCTTAGACGTTGAACTTTGTAATGAAAACTCATCAAGAATGTGGAATATAACCAAGAAAAAATTGGTAATATAAGTACAATATATGGAGTATATGATTTTTGTTAAGGTTGACTTTATCGTATATATGCAATTGCCCATTTTGCAGCTCCGAGTATCAGCAGCAATCAGCAATGCACCATACTTCTTGGTGTTGGATTGTGACATGTATTGCTACGATCCTTCGTCTGTTCGCCAAGCTATGTGCTTTTATCTTGATCCTAAAATCTCTCAGCAATTGGCATGGGTTCAATTTCCTCAAAAATTCCGAAATACAAGTGAATATGACATCTATGATGGTCGATTGAACCCCATTTGGGTACTCTCTCTGTCACATTTGCTTCAATATACAATTATGTTCTGTTTGGATGGAGGGTTTTGCAAGGAAAGATTTTGGTTATGCTAAAAAAATATGAATAAACTCTTGTACAGACTAACCATAACAGACCTTTAGAGAATATGAACAAAATTGTGCTACAATTTGGTGTCGATAAACTTCATTTTCAAAAATTTATGCAGAGAGAAGGGCAAGGTTTTGATGGGATTAGAGGACCTCCCATATACGGTTGCAATTTTTTCATGACAAGGGAAGCAATCTATGGAACTAGGAACATTTCGAAGGGTACTATTGATTGTATACATTCGCTCCAATCTTTTTCTTACATTGTTACATGATATAGTTTCCCTTTCAGTCCACACATCCCAAAAGTGTTTTCCAGATTGGATTGAATAGCTCACTAGATTAGTGACTTTCTATTTTTTTAGTTGATCATTTACTCTACTACGTATTTTCTAAAAAGACATGTAACTCTTGTTATCTAACCAACATTGCTTTTCATTTTCCTGATCAAAACACGCCAAACCTAATTACATATTTAAAATATGGGAAATAGCTAGGAGAGCATCTTTTATACCTTTAATAAATGGCCTATTGATCTTTATATGCAATTTTTCCTTCAATCTCACTGAATGTTTGATCAGGCGCTGATCTCAACCAGCTGAAGAAGCTATTTGGCTCTAGCAATGAGATGATTGAATCTATTAATAACATTCACACACAAAAGTTGCTTGAGAAAGGTACAAAGCCATACGATGCATTGCAGAAGGAGCTTCAATTGCTAGCCTCTTGTGCTTATGACAGTGGCACACAATGGGGAAAAGAGGCATGTGTGTGGTTAAATATATAGACATAGATCATCACTAATTACCCATTGCACGAATTCACGATCGGTCAAGCATTTATGTAATTTCTTTAAGTGCCTTCTTGCAGGTGGGCTATCGGTATTTCACGGTCGTGGAAGACTCTATAACAGGACTTGAATTGCACTGCAGTGGGTGGAAGTCGGTATTACTTGACCCTTCCAAACCATGTTTCTTAGGCACATCCACTACCAACCTGAATGATATGTTGGCTCAACAAACACGTTGGTCTTTTGGATTAATGCAAATTGGTCTCTCACGGTTTATGCCTCTGGTATATGGCCCGTTGAGAATGTCAATCATTCAAAGTATGTGTTATGGTGCACTTGTTCTTGATTGTCTCTACACCATCCCCTTCTATGGTTTAGCCATACTTCCTCCTATTTGTATGCTATATGGCATTCCCTTATATCCCAAGGTGAACTGATAATTAAACACGCTTGCTTTTAATTTTGATCACTTACATACATGTACAAATCATATATTCATATTGCACATTCGGTGGCATATTCTTAATTTCCCTTTGAGTGATGCTCATTTCCTTGTCATTTGCATGATTTTGATCATTTTCTTATGAAGGATGAGTACTCAATCGCATGTGATCTTGACTCATTTTCCGCATCCTACACATTTGAGTAAACTACATAGAAACTGCTCAATCAATTGAATGGATCAACTAACATCTAGTTTCATTTCAAACTTCTAAATATAGTTTGACTTCAAGTCAAAGCCAATACTTATTTAGCATGGTCTTAATTTTCTTTCTAAACACTATCTTTTAGGTTTCGAATCCATTCTTCTATGCATTTGCCTATGCATTTCTCTCATCACAACTCAAGCATGTGCAAGAAGTCTTTGCCTATGGAGATCCTCATCCGTTTAGGAATGCATTGTATGAACTGAGGGCTTGGATGATGAAGTCGGGAGGATGCTACTTCTATGCACTTATCAATTCTATATTTAACAAAGTTGGATTGCATAAAGCAAATTTCTCCCTCACAAACAAGGCGGATGATGATGAACATGTGAAGTTTTATGAGGCGGGCATATACGACTTTCGAACATCACCCATGTTTCTTGTCCCATTGTGCAGCATCTACATTCTTAATATGGCATGTTTCTTCATTGGAATTGCAAGAAGGACATTTCAAGCGGATTACGAGTCGCTGCTCGCCCAAGCTGTTCTTTCATTCTTTGGTATAGTTGTCAACTACCATTTGCTTGAAGGTATGTTATGGAGGAAGGACAATGGATGTATCTCTCCACATGTCTCTCAGCTCGCTCTTATAATATCTGGAACCATCTTTAGTTGTGGAACACTTATTGTCAAATATTAATTGATTGAAAATTACTAGTTCCATATTATTAATGTAAGAGTGAACGCCATCTTATTATTAATTGTAAATTTATTAATGGTAATTTAGTTATTGGTTCTATATCGTCATAGTTTACACTATTTTTGTAATGGTTGATATGAATTCACTAGTGTATTATCGGAAGAAGATTGAGAAGAAGAGGATCTCACTGGAAAAGAGGAGTTTGAATAATAAGTGAAAGAGTGCAATTGATTTATAATATAAAATACTTTTGTTTTACCGGAAAGTGGCATATTATATTAAATTCAAACTCACAGTACAATCAGGAAAATTGTAAACAAAAAGTAACTCCCTTTAACCCAAAATGACCAAAAACCCAGCGGCTCCCTCACTCCTAGATCAGACATAGAATAGTCCACCCCAAAAAGAGCGAGACTAATCGCTGAAAATGTGAGACCTTTGAGGCTATTAGCGGCTGAATCAGCCTGATTGCCTCCATACAGAAAGCTATCAACTAAAACAAATAAAAACATCAACCTAGCCTCCTTATTGTTTGTCATAAAAATATTAAAATAGAAATTATAAAACAGTCTGGACTGAAAATAACAAAATAGAACAAGTAAAACATTCTTCCGAACTCTAGGCGCACAATTCTCCCATTGCGGCGGTTCAGGAGGGGGACGAATCATTATCTTCTCGTCTTCTTTCTCCTTCATCTGGATTGAGAATTCTTCATGCCACATCAACCATCTATCCTTCATGACTAACAAACAGACCCAAGCGGCTACCCACTGATTTGGCCAAAACCATCGTGCCGATCGCCCGCCTAGCTGATTGGGGTCCAATTTCGCCCCTTTCAGATCCCAAACCACCGTTGTTCCACACGGATCAAACACAATTGGTACAACTTCCATCTCAATAACCAACAAAGCTAGAATGGCGAAACCAGACATCGGAAAATCAAACCTCGCAGGTCCACGACCTTCTACGAAATCGTTGACTGTGATTGACATCACAACAAATCCCAACAATGCATTTCTCGATCAAGCAACTCGCCAATCTCGATCAAGCAACTCGCCAATCTCCTATTCACAAATTATATATGTCTAGATTCAAAATTATGAATCTCTTACTACATCAACGTCAAAAGATTAAGTCTTGTCTCGATAGTAAAATCTAAATATGAATCACAAACACATTTAACTTCCAAAAATTCAATAATCATACCTACACTCATTCAACATCTAAATTTAAGAACAGTAATGTATACAAGCAACATAATGAAAATGAGAAGTTTTTTTTCTAAAATATTACTAATAAAAATATATGGACATAAATGTGACTATAAGTTACCATGAGTAAGTTTTATAGTCACTATGATATAACATTTGAATAAAATTATAAATACTAAGGCTACTAGAGTCGCATTTTCGTCCACAACTTTGATTTTGATTATAGATTATTTGGAATTATTTCTAAAAAATGTACTTCTAATACTATGATTTAGGTATCCTTGTAGTTACTGTTTTAGAAACATCATAATTTAAATTTAAACTTGATATAAATTAGAGCAACCAATCAAAATTAATCTAATCATCCAATACATCTCTACAAAATTATTAGCAATTACATAAATTAAAGCAATCTAGAGTAATATTTCCCAATATTTGGACTTTAAACTCATATGTGAGCTTTATGAAAGTTATTGGGTGAAAAATTAAGAGAGTCAGAATGTGAAAATTGTGTACAGAAAATCACGAAAATTAAGTAATCAATATGTGAAGAAAATAAATCATGTAGAAGTTAACAAAGGAAGGATGATGAATGATATTGAAAATTAAAAATCTAAAATAGTGAACTATGAGCACCAACTCCTCATAAATGCAAAGGATAGCCGATTAGTTGAATATTTTTCAAAAAATAAGAGGGAATAAGTGTCATATACTAATGTACTACTATTCATATATACTTAATATATTAAATAATAAATACATAAACTATTATAATATGTAAATTATTGTGCGGGTCGGGTAATGGTGCGGGTAACCGTATCCAAATTAAACATGGCAGGTAACGGGGTGGAAGGCATAAACCCATAACCGCCCCATTACCCGTTTACATAAATCGGGTATTCCCCGCCCTGTACCCGTTACCCAGTCAAAGCGGTTTTCCCCATTTTGACCGGTTCAGTTTGATGCGGGTATCCATCGGGTCAGGTTAAATTGCCATCCCTAGTCCCACCTACGATGCGGTAATTAAGGGGGGTCGGATGCACGCAACTTTGTCTCTGTACTAAAGCACAGAGAAACAATTTCTGGATGACTTATGATGAAGATTGCATCAAAAATTGCATGTGGTGACTAGTGTTTTATAACAAAGAAGCGATGAGTCGTTTTGCTTTATTTCATCATATTTCCAAACCAAAAAATATTGCGTCTTTGGCTCCATTAGAATTGATGAAAATGTAGTATAAAATTATACTCCGTATAAAATATGAAAATTATGTATGGAAATGTTTTTCGTTAAAAATTCTTTGAAAAAAGTATAAAGTTATAAGTTTCACACAAATATGATAACTAAAAGTATTATCCAAATTTTATTATCATTACACAGGCAAGAAAAGACAAATTAATTGGCCATTTTCTTTGGGACAGAGAGAGTACCTATCAGTTAATTTATACTCCGTAATTATATTAGGGATAGAAATGTAATGTTTAGTCCTGTTTAAGAAAAATAATACACGGAGTCGTATGTTTGGAGGATATATAACTATATTTTTGTCTTATTTAATAACAACCGGCCCGTGAAGAACCTCAACTTTTCTTTTCAAATGTTTAACTTGAGTTATTGTAACTTTGTGCGCGTGGACCTGAGGGGCGATGGAATGGATCTGGCTTTGGGGGTGATTCTTGTGACCAGAAGAGAATATGGCTTTGAGAGGAGCAGAAGATCGAAAGAGGACCTGAGGGGCGATGGAATGGATCTGGATGAGCCAAAAAATGGAAAAGAGGTGGGCGTTGAGTACCTTACCCGCCTGAGATTTTGAGTGTTTTTATATCCAAGAAGGAAAGTTGGAGCGTCTCGTGATTCTGGGGAGGCAATTTATTTCCAATAGCCATGTTTTTCCTTTTTGCGTTTTGCTTTGGTCCGGATGTTTTTTTATTTTAGTTAGATTCTAGAGTTTAGATCAGATTATGAAAAGTCTGTTTTGACCGCCTTTGGCTCAATTATGCGCATTATAAGATCAAGGAATCATATTGCTTTCTGAAATGTGATTGATTCCAAGTCTGGATCGAGGATTGAGAGTTGTGTAATACTTGATATTTAATTTAAATGGATTGATAGTTCTACTCATACCAACAAGGTGCGCTTCTATTTAGAACTTCAAAGTGCGCGTTTAAAGCTAGTGGTGGTTTGTGAGGACAGTACTAGAGGTCTAGAGTAACTACCTTAGGTTCTGCGGGGCAGGGTGTAACAAGTTGGGAGTGGACTTTTTGTCTTTTTGCTTTTTGGTGTTTGAATTCGGTTATTTCAATATAAGTCACTTTCTTCCAAAAAAAAGTATGCTTAGTTTTAAATCAATTAGTTGTTCTATTATTTATTTGTTCAAGTAATGATAATTTTTTTAGGTGTTTCTCCTTGTAAATATCATGTTAAGTACGTAGTAGTATATATGTAAGACTATATATTAATTTTGAAAACTAAAAGTTAATGTGGGGGAATGTATGTAATTAAAGTATGAAAACTTTACGAAAATACTATATATGTTTAAAGTATGTAATATACTATATATGTTTATATATATGTAATTATATATATATATATATGTGTGTGTGTGTGTGTGTGACAGAAAAATTTGAATGTTCAAAGGCCCCCCCCCCCCTAAATCCCTTGGTCTCCTCACTACATCCAGCATATTAAAAACCCAAAGGCGATCTGCATTTCTATTTACTGAACATCTGAAAATACAACATTTTCCCTCCGTTTTCGTCCGAACTCCACGTTAGGGCATCGTTTATGTTAAGAAAACAATAAGCATTTCTTGAGTTCAGTTTCCTCATGAATCTGTACGCATCATCTTCTTCAGTTTTTAGCTATTTGTTGTTGCATGATTTCGGAGATACTCATACAAGTATACAACACGTAGGGAGTACGTTTTAATGTTACCGAGTATATGTCCAATGTTTAAAAAATCTACATACTGCATCGATAAAATGTCTAAGCACAGATTTTATGTTTTATTTTAAAATAGTTATCAGTTCGAAATCTTGTTAAAAACCGCGCAAGTACTTTTTTTAATCAAGAAATAAAAGTTCACTAAAGCATAGAAAATAGTTCAATCGCTAATGAAAGTAGAAATTCAAAGTTATTGAAAAAATACGGTAATGAAAAGAAAAACTAAACGATCCAACCAAATATGAAGCCCCTCTTGTCAAATATAGAAACCAACTGTCAAGATCTTCAATAATACCAAAGTTACCAGTCGAAATCACCCATCCACAAACAAAAATAGTCATGACTAAACATCCCTATAAAGAAACAATTGAAAAATCCCAGGTAAATCTAACCCTTGATCTCATTTTTATCTTGAAGTCGGGCGCTTCATCTAAGCTCAAGTTGAGTAACTATTTTGTAGTTAGGATTACTTGGCTGAGAAAGCAACTCCTGATCTGAATCATTTCCTGGGTCCTCCTCATCTGAAACATCATCAATGTCAAATTAAGAACTACCCTTAATTGCTTTTTGCTGACTTCCCTCAATGACTGAGACTTGAATCGGTGTTACTTGCAAGACTTCCTCCACATACATTACTTTCATCCTCCTTTGCTACCCTAGCCATACCATCATAAGAGCTCTCTTTCAAAAGGACAATATCTCTATTAGAGTGTTCAGTTTCAGGAGGAGAGATAAAACCAATTGTAGAAGAAAGATAACCATTTATCAAGAAGTACAATTTGACTTTGTTCCCACTAGTAGAGGGGAACAATAATACGCCTAGTAGTTGCAAAATGAGTACCCTCGTGTATGTGGTGAGTTCCTCATTTGTGTTTTGCTAATGTATCGGTAAATGTTGTAGGGCATTCATTCTTATTACAGATGTCTTTAAGCCTATGTCGGTGGGAGTGAAGTCGGCGGAGTTTGTGCACATCTGCATCCAAACTGCCTTTGAACTCGTCGTAGGTCCAGACAGTGGTTCTCCGTCGACGAGCAACCCCAACAACACCTCTACGCGTGTAATGGGGTGAAAAGGAGTAGAGTAATGCGTGTCTTTAGTAAAGAGCCGAGGGTTGACGCCTTTTGCTTCATTTTAGGGAGATGCCTCGTTAAAAACCTCATTAGGAAAAACCCTGTGGGAAAAAATCCTAATGAGGGAAAAAGAGTACACCAGATGCCCCCAAAACAAAGTAAAAAGGTGAACCCTTCGATCTGAGATGAAGGATAACGCTGAGGCCGAGAGCCATTCGTGATCTGTGGAAAGTAGCCCTGAGAGGCCGAGGGCTGTTTATGATTTGAGGGCGGTGATTGCCGAGGGGAGTCCCCCGGACCTCCATGTATTGAGGGTTGAGGGTTCCCGAGAGGTTTCACCTTCATGCTGAGAGTTAAATCTGGAAGGAGGGTTTCTGAATGTGATAACCCGAGGGCTCACTATGTTGTTGTTTGAAGGGTGCCGGCTGAGGGCATCTCAGGCTTTCAAAAATTAGCCGTTGGGATATGGCCGTTGGAGAGAGCATCCACGTGGCGTGTCCTGGTTGGCTCGCTTCGGGTGGGTGTCACCGGTTGGCTGAGGTGTCGGTTGTAATGATGGGCTTTTAACCCGAGGCCCAAACCCAGGCCTTAACCGCAGTTGGGGAGGCTATAAATACCCATGGCCTAGCCTCATATCCTTTGTGCGATTTCATTGTATCGAAGCTTTGCCAAAAAAATTTCTAGAGAGAGAAAGCATTTAGGTCGATCAAACCCTCACTTTCAAGGTCAGTTCTTCCCCTGTTCTTCATTTTCTTGAATACTTTGCTTCGCAAGTTCTAGATTCAGTATTAGTCCCTTAGAATATTTCTTCCTTCTTCCAACTCTCTTCTTCAATAATTCC